CTTGATGACATTCAAGAGCTCCTACATGGACACGGAATGACAGTAGCCATTGCTGCCCGTCGAGTAATGGATCGCAAACGGTTTCTCCCCACAACGCTTAACGACAGAAGTGGAAATTGATGATGATGATTATGATCATATAGCAAATCGTTGATAGAAAGTTTGTGATGTTATAGTCTGCGGGAGAGACTATCTTTTCTTAGGTTTTCCTTTACTATGTAGCAAATCCTTGAAAGTAAGTTGCTGATGTTATGGTCCACAGGAGAGACTTTCCTTTCTTAGGTTTTCGATCATCATCATATAGCAACACCTTTTTAGAAGGTTGCTCCTGTAAGGAACGCTGGACAGACTATCCTTTCTTAGGTTTCCCGTCATCATCGTGTGCCGTGCTGATAAGCATGATTTGCCACCACAGACTATCACCTGAGTCTGGAATCAGGCCACTGTTCTTGTATCGATAAACCGAGTAAGCTCAGACAGCACAAAGCACGAGGCCAGGCAATCTCTGCATGAATCTTGTAATCTTTCCTGTAGCAGGTCGTTTGTCAGCGCTGAAACAAACAAGCTTGGTTTCTCGCCAGATCTCCCGCTTCATGCACTTTCCTACTTAAGGTGTCACTTATATCCTGTGCTCATCTTCGCACTGGTCGGCCCTGCACCCCGTTTCTGGTAGTATGCCTTCTGTCATTTTTCTCTCCAATTTGCCCTTACAGGGCCCCAATAGGTCATATAATATAACTAAAAAGCAGGAAGTAAAAGATACTAACGACATCGGACGTTTGCAACAAGAACATTCTACTGTGTTTCGTATTAATATGTTTGTAGCAAGCCATTGCAACTACTGTCGTTTATCAATGGGTAGAACACTATTGCTAATCTGTGTCGGATGAATCAATCCTAATTTTACAAATCTTCGAGGCCCTGTAAGGGTAGTAGGGTTTTGAGCTATATTATTTGGGACCGTTATTCGGAGAAGTGTCATGTTTTTCAGTTTCCGAGACAAGATGCTTTTTACTAGCCAATCTTCTTTGATATTCAGAACTTTTAAGGATATCAGTATTTCTTTTCTTCCTTGTCATTTGTGTTATAAGAATCTTTGAGTAGCATTTCAGCTCAAAAGCTTATGTCCTCAAGGACTGCGAGATACTTCACCACTCCCCTCCACATGTTGCAACCGGGAAGATGCATCCTCTCAACATTTTCTCTTTTATTTTCTTGCCGGTGTTTAACCATAGACTTTTAATGCTGTTTAAACTTTGCATGGCTATGGCCATCCTCCTCCTTTTGACTTCTTTTGAACTGTCTGTATTGCTGTTTATTGTGGAACCTAGATATTCAGATTTTGTTTTCCAGTTGAAGTCTTGTGAAATTAGGTTAATGGAGTCCTATTTTCGCCAGTAACATATTTGAACATCTTGTTATAGCCAAACTGGCATTTGATTGGTGATGTGGTCAGCACAACGAACATCTTGGGTTCAAATCGATTTTGAAGCTGCTATGTCGACTCAGCATAAATAGGGACCAGAAAATGTCCTGGAAGGCAAATGCGGACGTGCGACCACATCATCTATCGAGGGTTTACGATTTTATACATATATACATATCCGAGTGGGGCCATATGCTCTTTGCACCAGTGACAGGAAAATGTTTGTTAACTTATCAAAGGTTACCGACCCCTGACCTGGATCGATGCAGTGAACGCTACAGAATTAGCATTGTGTGGAGTTGTTGCACCAGTAGCCACCAGAAAATTCGCCAACGATTGAAAGTGCATTCTGGTTGAAATGCCAGTGTCAGAGTTTTAATTGTCATCACATCATCTGCTAGACCGACGACAAGCTGCTAATGTGGCAAGACATTTGCCGAGGCACATCCAGTTGGCTTCAGTGTAGTCTACAAAGCGTGTGTAATTGGAATATTGGCTTTCCTTACCTGTATTGGCACATCCAATTGGCTTCAGTGTAGTCTACAAAGCGTGTGTAATTGGAATATTGGCTTTCGTTACCTGTATTGGCCTTTATATTTAAAGAAAAAAAAAGTGGGGGGGGGGGAGGGGGGTTGGATAACTATTCAATGAGAATTTCATAACATGTTGGGGAACAACTCACATTTCCGGGCCCAGGCTCCGCCCACTTACATACTAGGTCACTTTTGATTGGTGCTTGGTCAGGCTCGTGAACTTTGGTCAACGTTACAGGGTTGTCCAGGTTTACTGTTTGCTCGAAAAGCTTTCTGCGTTGTCTTCATTTTTACGTTTTCATTCCGAGAAAGAGAATGCGTCGGACCTAGGCTCCAGCACTCTCGTAGGGGGTTTGTGTTAGGGCCAATTCTACATGTTTTATGACCGTTAAAAGCGCTGACATCCTGGAATATACAACACGCGACATCACCACCCGGTGAAGAGAACGCAAAAAGCTTTTCGAACAAAACAGTACACAAGGACACCCCTGCAACCTTCAGTAAAGTTGACGAACCTAACGAAGTATGAATAAAAAGTGACCTAGTGTGTAAGTGGGTGGAGCCTGGGCCCGGAAACGTGAGTTGTACCCATGTTGGTTTTATAACTGAGAGTTAACAGTGTTGAGGGAATATAACAGCACGGACTGCAGAGATCCTTGTATCGGGAGATGGCATGGGGGATCTGGCCGACGCTCTTGTCTTGGCTTGCTTTTGCGGGGGGGGGGGGGGGTCGTCATGTTTAACCGGTATCCCCGAAAGGGGAGCTTTAGGTTATAATTGTTACTAGGGTATGGGGGCCACATAAAATGGTTTAGCATTGCTCGCCAGGACGCAGCCCTGAAAGGGACTCTTGCAGTGTTAATGCGACCAAAGGAGACGGACCCAAATATTGTCCCGACCGACGACGAAGTTATCTACCGGCCAGCTTAGTTTGCTCGGAGGACATATAATCAGAGTTCAGCTGGCGCCATCGGTGTTGGATCTCTGAGCTGGCTGCTGAAGATTGAGACTTAGCATTTGTAAAATGTCCCCATTGCTATATTGTCGGTATTTTACCTAACTCAGCTTGACTTACTTCAGCTAAACCATCGTGAACACAGATCATGTGTGTTAGATGTAGGAGTCAGTCAAGGACCCATTTTCAGGCCTTCAGATATTGGGCCAATCGGACTAGACCTATATTTTATAGACCAAACGGGACTTGGAGGGCGTTGGGCCGCCGCCTTTACCTCTCAGGACTGGTACCTGGTACCAACTTAAGGCTGGGTCGACCTTTGAGCGAAGGTCATTTTTGAAGATATAAACATTCAACTTCGTCTTGACCAGATCCCACGAATTCCCGATCCGCAGCCGAGTGTCTAGATATGGCCATTCAGTTTCTTTCAAGTCTTTTCATGTCCACAGTATTCTCATCGTTGCAGCGTCCGTGGCTTATGTGTCGCGAGTCCGACTCGTAATCCAGCGTATCGCGATCGAAACCCACTGCTAGCTGCGTGGATTTTTATCATGGTATGGGGCGTCGCAGGTTGACCCAGCCTTAAAAATGGGTACCATGATGGGCTGTCCTGGGAAAGTAAAGACAGCCGGCGTAATGCTGACCACATTACCCACCGAGTGCTGGTGGTCTGTAAAAATATTGGCGCTCTTTCCATATGCCCGATACACCTAAAGGCGTGGAAAGGGATCTTTACTTTTTTTTTTTTTTTTAAACTTCTCATCGTTCGTCTAGAAAACCACACATCCTCTGCCTACAAATAGTATTTCGCTAATCGTCCAGCTGTCCATAATTCACTTTCTCGGAGAGGATATATATTACACAACAGTTCAAGTGTACTCACTTTGGATTAGAACCTGTCCAGAATCTGCCCAGAATCATGGGAGTAGACACGAGATAAAATGATACGGCCTGTGTCGATTCGCGAGGTTCATTCAGTGGATCTGTACTGTACCCAGAGATCGATGGAGGCGGGGGGTAAACGTCGTCACACGTCTGACACTTGTCTGAATGCCAGAATAATGGGCCTGTATATGTGAGGTTTCTGGTACTTTAGGGATGTTTAGAAGTCGGGTACAGTCGGGTGTGTAGTTTATGGTAGTTTGGTTTTATTTTGTGATTTGCCTAATAATATATGCGTTACATCCCCGTGTGGGTACCGGGGCCCTATTATGGGGAAAACAAGAATAGACCCACTGTATACCCAAAAGCATGTCGTAAGAGTCGACTAATTGGGAGCTTTCTTCGAAGTCGGAGTGCATCTGCCTGAGAGGCAAGGGACCAACAGTCTGCACACAAATGAGTCAGATCTGTCAAACGGATGCACACGCGACATTCAGGTTCTGGAACAGGACTGCAGTCCATAAGTGGACGAACAACCAGAACTTTTCACCATAGTTTACAGCCGGTGAACGCAAAGAAGAAGAAAGAAGATATGCGTTACAGTGTATTTTTTTTTCCTTTACACGCCTCAGTAAGTAATGGAGCTTTTTCCATGCCACCAGGCGTACTTGGCATAGGTCAACATCACGCCGGCCACCTTTACTTCCCAGGACTATACCTGGTACACGTTTAAGGCTGGGTCGACCTGGAAGCCAGTGTCGTTTAAAAAATAGATATGCGGCTCCATCAAGACCCGAACTCCCAACCCTCTGGTCCGCAAACGAGTCTCTGGCTGCTACGCCGCGGCGGCTTCCATACACCTCAGTGATTTACACGATATTTCTTGCTTTCCATTACCCGCCTGTGTGCTTCATAGTTCTTGCTGAAATCGGATGTTGAGCCAACAAGTGAAGGCAGTTGTAAACCATTAACGCCTAGCCAAACCGCCTTGATACGGGCGAACGCAGAACAATGAGACTGAGGAGGAGAAGAAGAAGATGATGATGATGATGATGATGATGGATGGATGGATGGATGGATGGTGAAGAAGAAGAAGAAGAAATTTACAGTTCCTTGCTGTCATGACAGTATATTGTTCTCCAGTATGTTTTTACAGTCACGCTTGCTTTACTCAACCTGTCTTTTCCCCCTCTGTTACTTGCAGCGCCAACGCCTCGGTGGGAAGCAGAGATGAATCCTGTGACACGTGTACGGAATCCGACTCTGTTCTAGGGGGACCCAGACGAGGTAAGGCGTACTTCCTTTCACGTTGTATGTATCCCGAGTCTGTCTTATCCTAATTACACCACCTACTTGAGTCTGTCTTATCCTCATTACACCACCTACTTGGCTCTGTCTTATCCTCATTACACCACCTACTTGGCTCTGTCTTATCCTCATTACACCACCTACTTGGCTCTGTCTTATCCTCATTACACCACCTACTTGAGTCTGTCTTATCCTCATTACACCACCTACTTGAGTCTGTCTTATCCTCATTACACCACCAATGTGCCAAACGGAAGTGCTAGTGGTACGTATATGATTTGCTAGGGAAAAAAAAAAGAATGGTCACGTTCAGCCAGAATCATCAAAGGGGGAGCTTAAGGCTATAATTATGACTAGGTTATGTGCGCCATATAACATGGCTTAGCATTGCACCCACTAAGAGCCATGAAAAGGACTTCTGCAGTGTTGATGTGATTAAAGGAGACAGACCAAATACTCTCCCGGCCGGCGACGAAGTCGTCTACCGGCGAGCCAGTGGGCCGATGAAAGTGTTAGTGGTGACGCACCACGGTTTTATGGTGCAGTTAAAAAAAAGATAAAGCATTTGTGTGTCCTTTACTGGACGTTTGCAGAACCACATGGTCGGGTTTTTTTTAGTATGGGGGGGGGGGGGGGGGTGGGGAATGTGGGGATGATTTCACTCCGAAGTTTTTACGTTTAATAGTTTGCTATTACTTCTGAAAGCAACCCAAGGAAGTCTGCTGCCAAGTCGCCGCCAGCTAGGATCGAACCCGGCACCTCAGAATTATGAAGCTGATTCGCAGCACCTGAGCCACAGGCGCCGACGTGGTCCAGTTGGAGTAATAGTATTCTGGCTATTCATATGCACTCACATTCTCTCTCTCTCTCTCTCTCTCTCTCTCTCTCTCTCTCTCTCTCTCTCTCTCTCTCTCTCTTTCCCACGCAGGCGCATACACACTCACAGACCCTCTCTCTTTATCTCTTTATGCATATTTTATTTTACCCTTTTATTTATCCGTCTCTCTACCTCTTTCCTCTCTCATATACATCCTAAAATATACTCACTTCCTTTCTTTGTCTGCCTCTTGCCTGTCTTCCTCTCCCTCTCTCTGTCTTTCATGCGTTGTCTCTTATATAAACTCCATCACATGCGCGCGCACACTTGTATTTGTTTACCAGACACCAACACGTAGTGACAAAACGTGCCAGAACGTAAATCTGTGGCCACATTGTAACCAGAGACCACATCTCTGCCGGAGCAGAGACACAGTTCCAAGTTGAGTTCCCATGGACATTCCGATCTCCATGTTTGTCTTATAGATTTCATCTCACACAACTGTTGTGTCGGTTCACAAACAGAATAACTCACGCCCCGGCCCCAGACTCGTGCTTCCCAACACCGCTCATGTTTTTCTAAAGCTGATTTGGCGCGAAAGCGAGGGTAACTCTGCAGGCTTGTTTAGGTGCGAACACGCGTGGCGGTTATAGTTTGAGACGATCGAACTTCATTACACCAGGTTATCCCATATAGTAGCTGGGTCTCTCTCCGGAGAATGGGGGCCCGACAGCATCGCACGAAGAATGGACTCTATAGCCCTAGCGACGATCCCCCCGAATCTACGTACAAATAGCACTGAGGAAATGAATGACGCGTCCACGAAACGAACCCACGACCTCCAGTGCGCGAGGTAAGCAAGCGGCGTAGCAGATTCTACCGTAGGACTGAAGTCTCTTTACGACCTGTATTTTTTTTTTTTTTAATGGTTGTGTGTGGATGGGTAGTCGAAGAAGAATAGGGCAAAGAAGAACCAGGAATGACAACATCAGTGGACACGACTGATTAACATACACTTATTCATCGCGCGGAAGACATAGAATGATGGCGGGTTTATGTGCTAGTGCTTCCATTGATTCACCTCCACGTCCCTAACGGGTCAAGGGTTATGTTATGTTAGGCCATTATGGATGGGTTGTCCCTAGATTGAAGCTTTAGGCACCAAGATGAGTCCAGTGAATTGGGACTCAGAAGCTTAACGACGGTGGGAAAGGGGGAGGGGGGAACATAGACAGGAACACTTAGACGTTTCTCCAACAGCCTATATCGACAAAAACCTCAACAGCAACAAAGGGAAGATTATGTTCTGGCCAACGTGGAGGTAGACGTTAATAACTATAAAAATTAAGGAAAGGATGGTACGGAACGATTCAAATAAATAAACAAAAGAAAGATAATAATAATAACAATAATAATGATAATAATAATAATAATGATAATGATAATAAAAGTGATACCATTAAATAAAAATAATAGCAATGATCATGGTAATGGTAGAAATAATAGTAGCAGTAACGCCAGTGGTGACAAATAATAGTAAGATGTTAAAAATACTAATTAAAAATAATAACAATATGAGGTAAAATAAAATGAAGATGAAGGTATGCTGAACATTGATACCTGCTGGTTATGAAGGGGCGCTTGCAAATGCAGTCGCCACGAATGTTTAAATCCGAAAAGGTTCAAACCAGTGGTTTCTCAACCTGCCTAATGCCGCGACCCTTTAAAACAATTCCTCATGTTGTGGTGACCCCAACCAGATAGTTATTTTCGTTGCTACTTCATAACTCCAGTCAGTGTGTGTGTTTTCCGATGGTCTTAGGTGACCCAAGTGAAAGGGTCGTTTGACCCCCACAGGGGTCGCAATCCACAGGCTCGGTACCGCTGGGTTAAACGACTGGCGCTGCGGGACAGAAAGGAGCAGGCTACCAATTTAGATATGATAGAGATAAAGTAACTGCTGTCTGCTATACAAGAGATTGAGACTAGCATACTGTTTTTGGGGGCTAAAAGCCTGCTTTGTCTTTATTATACAGTGAATTTACAGGGTTATCTAAAATGATGGATACATTTTCATTCATTTGAACATCACATATTAATAATATTCATACAAGAGAGAGAGAGAGAGAGAGAGAGAGGGAGAGAGAGAGAGAGAGAGAGAGAGAGAGAGAGAGAGAGAGAGAGAGGGGGGAGAAATCTAATAAAGTTTACAGATTTACATTAGAAGTTATAGATGTTCAATTTGGCCGACGTCTGCTACTCGGCAAACATCTAAGCGGTAGCGGAACTCATCCCACACACGATGAAGCCTTTGCTGCACGAGCATGCGCACTCGAGTGGTTGGTTACGTAACTGCTCTCTAGTGGTAGTATTCGAAACTTTAGACCTTCCCCCTTTCTTGTATGTATATTATTAATATGTAATTTATTTTCAAGGAAGTATTCATCATTGAAAGTGTATCCATCATTTTTAATAACCCTGTGTAATGAGACCTAATATGGAAATGCCAGGAATTATGGTTGTTGGCCATAACATAAACAGTCATAAACAACCTATGTTATCCTGGTGACATCGTTTTGATAGCGATAAGTCAGAAAGAACAGTAGGGATTGGTAGATGCAGTGTTGGTATGAAGTAAAAAATACGCTCCAGATTGAATAATGGAAAGACAGAATTAATGGTAATATCAGAGAAAAGAATCGTTTCTAATTGTATAACAAAAGTCAAAGACGTTATTTAGGGCACGAACATAAATTTAAGTATCTAGGCACGTGGAAAACATTCTACGGCAGATGTATCATAGAGATAAAGAACATATTAGGACAGGCCAAAGCTACATTTCATAGAAGGAAAAACATTTTGTGCAATAAATCTGTCATTGGAGGTTAGGAAAAGAATTATCGAGCGTCAGCTTTAACATACGGCTGTGAATCCTGGACAATTAATAAATAAGCCAAACAATTTCTTAAGGCCTCGGAGATGTGGTTTTACAGAAAAATCCATAGAATCCTTGAAGAGCAAAATAACAGCCTAGATGTTTTGAAAGAGACGAGCGCTCGAAGACAACTTAGCAAAGACATTAGAAAGAGAGTCATCATTTTTTGGTTATGTGAAGAAGGAAACTGGAACATGTTGTGACCACTAGAAAGATCTGTGGAAAGAAAGACAAGAGAAAGACAACGCGAGAAGATTCTTGACAATATTTTGTCATGGTGTGGAGGAAGGTCAACACACGAAGTTATACACGCAGTTGCAGGTTGTGGAGAGGCATGATCGCCTACATCATTAGGCAGTGCACTCGGTGATGATGATTATGTATGGTGAGTAGTGGGATTTTAAAAAAAGTAGAAATTTACAATACTGATACTGCTACATGCTGATTGACTGGCGTCTAACCCCACCAGGACGACACACCGAGCGATAAACACTCAGTGACACAAAGTGCCACCGTTTGAAAGAGTATCATAGAGACAGGTCCCAGAAACCCTGTTCAACCCATATGTTGGGTTATACTAGCACCCCCGGCCTAGGTGGGGCTTTAAACAGCAACACAAATTGCGTCCGACATTGGGACGCAGGGGATAAATAATATACTGCTACAGGCAGGGTAGACCAGACTTTTAACCTGGTTGGCAGCTGGTCTGGGATAGAAGCTCTGACAGTCGGACGGAGCACAGGTCTTCGGCGTTAGCAACTTCCGCAGCATGTTTTGTCCCGAACGTATTGCTCTAACTTTGGAGTGAACAAGACAGGCCGAGGAAGGGAACAGGCTACAAGGACAACATGCACATGGTCTCTACAATACTGCCTAGATTTTGTGATGTGGAGAAGTGGGATTCGGTCTCTGGCCTTAATTGGTCTTGTCATGGATTATGACTCCCCTGCCTCATTAAAAGCAAAATACTCTTTTCCAAACCTTCCGGTGTATTGGGCACATAGGGCTAGACCTGTGTGTTATGAGCCAGTCGGCACTGAGTGGGTGATGTTGTCAATAATATGCCAGCCGTCATTACTTCCCAGGACTTTACCTAGTACCCGTTTAAGGCTGGGTCAACATGGGAGCCAAGGTCATTTTTGAAAGGTCCGTCTCCGTCAGGACTTGAACCCACGACCTTCGGATCTGCAGATGAGTGTCACATTCCTCACCATAGCACAATACAAC